TTTCACAATTCTCCATTCCATTTTCGATACCACAGAGAAAACTACTAACTAATATAAATATAAATAGCACAAATGAATAAATACAACAGAACAAACAGTTTTCAGGTACAGAAATTAAAAAAAGTATTCGAATGCAAAATAACACTGCATAGTCTGTATAAATTAAATATAGATTAATCATTATTAAAGTTACAAAAGTTATTCAGTCAAGAGCAGTGAGTGATTTCTTTTTTCTTTCTTTTGATGTTCGATTAACATTAAAACACAAAGTAGCAGCAGCCTTATAAACCTTCTGCTGTCTAAGACCGAATACACGGATCAAATATACTGATACACATGCATTGTCTTTCTCTACTGTTTACTTACACTTAAAGCTGCAGTCTGCAGTTTTTCCTCTTTATCGCCATCTCTGTTCGAAATCTGCAATTGCAGTCATTCGCGGGGAACTATCAACTTTACGTGAGTTGTACTTCCTTTTAACACGACACAGCGCGGATGAACACAATGTTTGAGGAGAGTGTGTGTCTGTCAGTCACCGCGCCGATGTGGATACTGTCATTCAGAATCACAGATTATTCTTTTTGGAAGTATGACCAACATAATAATTTTCACCGGAAAATGTCATCTGAACTAGTAAGAAACATCCACTTTTGTTCTGGTTCTGACATTGCAGTAAATCGCGCTGATTAAATCTAAAAATCGCTTATCATATCACTCAAAACCGTGCAAATTATACTTTGTTCTCAAATTGTTAATGTTAACAACGTCAGCATTGCGTGACTACATGTAATGTCCTTCCGATATGTATCCTTGTTTTCGCATGGGCCGGTTGCAGTCTCTTTTTTTCTGTAGCCACTCCGAAGTCTTTTGCATTTTACAGCGGGTGAATCTGTTGTCACTGGTGATTGTCGTTTGAACCTTTCTGGATCTGCCATCAAATTGATGAGTTTAATTATATCAAGTGCTGTGAGAAAAGGCTATAAATTTCCATCTCCAACATCCTCACACGCAATATAGCCTACTAGCCGAGACTCCTTCTTTATGTGTACAGATGTGACGTAATGACGCAGAGACATGCTCGAATCTCCCGCGGAAATCCACCAGTACCACTGGAATTAAAATATTATTACAAGCTTACCGTTTTGAATCGAGCTAAAGCAAGCCGATAGTTTTGAACACTGGCTGGTTATGTATTTTCTCAATTTATTTTGGATAATTTTTAACCCAAAAAAAGCTACGGACTGCAGCTTTAAGCTGTAACCGACTAGGATACTAGCCAAGACAGGCATTTTGAGATAATTGTGTGTGAACTTGTCCGTTCAAGCGCTAGAAGACGTGAAAGAGAAGTGATTTTATTGTTTGCACGCTGTCTGAGATGCACAACTTTCTGTGTGTGCGCCTCGGAAGTGTACACACACAAAACTTCTCCAGCGTGTGAATGTTTAAATTGGCAAGGCTTAAAAACGTGTGCAAATGATAAACTTTCGAGACCATACAGCACTGGCCTGATTACAGTTACAGTTCCTTTAACTGTCTGGATCGTCTTTCACGCTGCATCTGCCGTGTTAAGCATGGAATGAATGACAGGGGCTGTGTTCAAAATCATCTCCTATACACTCATTCACTATTCCCTACATTAGTCCACTAGTCCATTAGTCCTCTTGAAGGAGTGAATGAAAACGAGTGAGGGAATTCGGACACTGAGTGCGCCGGAAGGGCTTTTGCGTAATTTGTGCTTGCTGTTTAATAATTATTTTAAGATTAGCAAACTTTCAGCTCCAGTAGTAAGATGAAAAAAAAAAGTTATCTTGAACAATTTATAAAAATCTATTAAAAATGAATTTATACCTGTATGATATTACGCTGTAGCCACATTGGACCAGCGGTTTGGAAAATGAATGGATAGATGATTCCTCTGTGGTCACCATATTCTGGTCAGACGCAGGAATTCATTTGGCACGACCCTTACAGTGCATTATGGGTATTCTCTAGTCGTTGAGTGTACATCAGTTGTACACTCGTTTTTGCGGTGCATTATGGGATTGAATGAGCGCACTCGAACAATGTCCACTGTGGTTTCAGACACCACTACAAATGGCTGTCCCTTCAAATAGTGCCGTGTTTAAGGGTTTAGGGTTTAGTGCCGTATTTAAGGGTGATTTTGGACACAGCCAGGGTCCCCGCTGTAACATCCTACAAGGTAAATAAGAGGATGACATCTAGTGGAGAAGACTAGTAATAAGATTAGATTAACGTCAATCAGACATTGTTCAATGTTTGTGGAAAGAGGTTTGTGGCTTTTGAGAATTGATATTGAATCGACAAAATTTTTATCGAAAATCAATTTTTTGCCCAGCCCTACCTGAAGTGTTTCCCATTTTGTGTGCCTTTTATGTATCTGACGTTCAACCAACAATCACTACACATGGACAACTTTAGAGAGCATCCGGCGGAATGGTTGCTTTTTTTAAGGCCTGTTGTAATGTATATTATAATTTCCTTTGAATCAGGAGTAGGCCTAATAGAAATACTGTTCTGCTAACTGTTTGTCTTCTGTTCCCTTTGAGGAAGTTTTTTAATAGTCAGCGGCCTTGTCTTAAGTCAGCATGGGTCATTTTGATGCTCCTTTGTATCACTTTAACCTCTGTTGACAATGGCAAAATAGGAGCTTGAGATGACTCTTTCCCTCTCTGCATTCATCTATGTGTATTTACCCATGAGGAGGATGGAGATACCAAGCAGAAGAAGGTGATTCTTGCCTTGACCTGGCTAAATGGAAAGGAGGAGGGTACGCAAACAGTTTTAAATGAACCGAGGATGTAGTCTGTGTGCCATTAGAGGTGGAGGCTTTGTGGGTCTCCTCACCGGGTGCAGTGTAATGGCAGTATGAACGGAAATATGACTCTCTATTCAGACAGCCTTCTTCATAGGAAAAGTGTTGTTGTCACATGCCTGCCATCTGTTCTCAGAATGCTTAATCAGAGAGAGCTAAGTCAGATGTTTGAACACACTCCTCATTCAGGTGAGAGTGTTGTTAAGGGGTGCATGGAGCTCCATTTTGCCTCTTTCCATGCTGAAAGGGTGTTTTAGTTGTTCCTCCTGGCTTGTTTGGTTTGTGTTTCCAGTCTATGCTGGCAAAAGGAAGCTCAAAAGTGCAATCCAGTCAGCATATTTGTACATTGAGATATTTGACTGAAGACACTAGATGAAACGATTTTTCAGTACCATCAGTTATTGCCTCGTGTTAGAGATTTTTATTTATCAATATCAGTTCATATTGGATATTTATTTGTACTTACCGGTACTTGTTTCCCATTTTTACATGTAGATACTGTAATTTAATTTTGAAAAACACTAATTTAATAACACCGTTAAATATAATATTTGGCAAATCTCAAAATGAACTTCTTCATAACTATTTATTTACATATGTACAATTTATGTAGGTTTTATTTAGACATTTATTTACAGACAGAAAAGCCTAGAATTTTTAAATCTGTCCATCAATATAATTTAATCAATGATGGTTTTAATGCACATACTTTATGTAAATAACTTGACAACTTGGTTGTCTGTTCTCTGTGTTAAAAGAGATGGATTCTCTTCTCTTTCATCACCAGATGTTTGATATCCTGTGAACAGTGAACACATTCTAAATGTTTCAGTTACTTTTTAAAACAAGTTTCTGTGCTGCCATTTGCCCTAGCATACCTGTAATGTATTGTAACATTGGAGAGTCTCTGGGGAAGAGCGGGTCTTTTGTGAAGCGAGGAATCCAGTGGCTGTGGGTCTGTTGGCTTCACGCCCTGACAGGGTGGAGAGGAGCCGACTGGCTTTCTGAATAACCGAGCCCTGAGAAGCTGCCAGTGGATCAAGTTACTGACTGGAAGAAATTGTAACTGCTTTGTCTGCTGGAAGGACTCGCTGATCCATGGGGCTCGCTATGGGGCCGCAGGCTTGGTGATGGGGCCCGCTGAAGAGGTACACTCTGGGGCTCCATTGACTTCTGTTGAAGTTTTGTTGCACCTTTTCTTTAAAAGAAAAGTCGTACAAACATCATGTGTTGTCTTTCACTGCTAGCATGACGTTTTGATCACCACATGAGTATCTTATCACTGAATATGAGTATTTCTCACACAAAGGAAGTGGTTCATGTATTTTTACCATGAAGGAGTCTGGTGGGAGTTTTGTTTTAGACATCAGGTATTTCTTATCTAATTCTTGTCAAGTCTCTTGTGAATGTCCTATGTTACACAATTTTGGTGGTGGGTGGGGGTTGTGTTAATCGAACAGTGTCTGTAATTTACTGAACTTAAAAACATTGAAAGAATGCATTCTAAATTCTTTCTGCCATTTCCTGTCAATAACTCCGAGTCCTCAGGCATTCCAAGTGATTTCTCACATTTAAAGGTGACGTGATTTATCAGCGCAACCGTATTACATATTACTTGCATAGCTGAATGCACTTCAAAAATGCATTCATTTAAATGCACTTTATTTAAATGTGGTCAATATATATCCCAGATCAAATGTGGTTTCAGCGATCTGATCATAATCCATAAACAATGTGCCTTGGCTTCTGTTGTAGTCTAGTGGGATCCCAACCTGATCCGATCACTGAGGGGTCATAAGATTGCTGTACTCTAAATAATTTCTGTAGATAATGTGGAGAACGGGGCTCTTTCACATGATGGATGCATTTGAAGAGAGATGAGAACATGTTTGGCCCAATAATAAGCCTCAAATAAATGGATATTTGTATAAATCGAGAAGTAAAAATGTGCTAGCTGGCTGCAGGCCGGAGATGAGTTCCCTGTTTATTATGTCTATAGTCCAGCTGTGTAGAAGCACATTCTCTCCAAGAGTGTCTGTATCAGACTCAGCTTATAAAATACCTTGTTGGGTGAATGCTGTTGATTGCTGTAGAGTGCATATGAGGTTTAAATCAAAATACCCCATGATATACAGCTCCTCATTGTATCTTTTCTTCATATCTTCAGGGTCAGAGGTAATTTCCAGCTACAGCAGCAGTAGCAGCAGCAGTAGCATCATGGCAGAGTCTGTTATACAAGAGATGCCCCCGGCCATGTGCCTGGAGAAACCCAGCGTGGACTTTAGCTACGTGGGCATCGATGCCATCCTGGAGCAGATGAGGAGGAAGGCCATGAAACAGGGCTTTGAGCTCAACATCATGGTAGTGGGTGAGTCAACATTTCCAGCGTTGATCTAGAACATATAAGTCAGCTACATTTAAATGAAATAGTTGGACTTTAATGTGATGCTGGACTCTAGGCAGTTTTTTCTTATACCTCAATAGCTTTATTTTAGACATTTTAAAGTCTACAATTTTATTTGAATCCCCCAACATTGGTCATTTTAATAATGGATTTGCGATTAAAAGAGATCTGTAATTTAGGCATTTGGTGAGACTGTTTTTAAAAATAATAAAGTGGAAGTGCCATAAATTCTAATTGTAGAAATGCATTTAATTACTTCAACCTTTAATAAAACAAGCTTATGGTAATCAAAGCTTCAATTTTCGATTAACACTTCCAACCACACTCCTACGCGAGGCAAATACACGTAGGCTTTCATAAGCAATGCTCAATTAAATGCCACAAGTCAGACTGTTATTCTGTGTGCATTTTTATGTTTGTTCTTACATGTTAGTTTATTTTTTGCCTGTATGCATTTGTTCGTTTTTCTTTTGGCTCATTGCAGCATATCAATGTTTGTATTTTAGTCCATTAGATGCAGTGTTAATGATAATGAGATTTATTAGATTCTACAAAAGTGAAAGAATAACATCTACTGAATTTAAACTGACACGCATGAACTGATTCACTGATTGTTCTTCTAGTGCTCTTAATGTGTTATTTGTAGTTCGCTTATGTTCAGAGAAAAGGTAATAGTTAACAATACTTGACAGGCCACATATTTTAGGAGACTGAAATACCCCAAACCAGTTAAGCACAAGTCACCAGAGGTGGACAGTAACAAAGTACATTTACTTGAGTACTGTTCTTAAGTACACTTTTTGATTATCTGTACTTTACTTGAGTATAATTTTTTTCTGGAAACGTTTTACTTTAACTTCACTACAAAGACAAATATCATACGTTTTAGTCCACTACAATTCTGTCAAGGTCCTTGAGTAGAAAGTAGTAACGTCACTAAGAGGATGATTTTGGTTGCAGGGGTTGCATTTTGGTTGGAAATGAAAGTCGGTTTGACGTCAGAACCCGACGTTGGATTGACGTCATCATCCGACGTCGGACAGACGTTGGATTTTTGGTTGGAAATGAAAATCAGGTTGACGTCAGAACCCGACTGATGTTGGTTTCTGACGTCAACTCGATTTTCATTTTCAACCACAATACAACGTCTGTCCAAACGTTGGAGATAAATGTCAATCTGGCGTTGGATTCTGACATCAACCTCATTTTCAACGTTGGGTTTGGTCATCTAAATGTGAATTTTGTCATTGTTTTGGAACACACTAGCTTATAGATAACAGTAAGGCTAACATAATACATTCTCAAATTCAATCCCACTACTTGAACTGTGTTCTATAAATAAATTTGATATTGATATGAGGGTAGGCATGGCATAGATTCAGAGGCATACAGTACTGTAAGTATTACATACAAAAATGCAACAATAATAAAAAATTGCATTGACATTTTACTTTTGATACTTTAGTTTTAAGAACAAGTACTTCTGTATTTTACTTAAAGCTGCAGTCCGGCGTTTTTCCTCTTTGTCGCCATCTCTGTTCGAAATATGCAATTGCAGTCATTCGCAGAATTATCAACTTTACGTGAGTTGTACTTCAACACCCTCGATGTTTGAGGAGACTGTGAGGCTGTCATTCAGAATCAGAGATTATTCTTTTTGGAAGTATGACCAACATAAGAATTTTCACCGGAAAATGTCATCTGAACTAGTAAGAAACATCCACTTTTGTTCTGGTTCTGACATTGCAGTAAATCGCGCTGATTAAATCTAACAATCGCTTATAAGTTATCATATCACGCAAAACCGTGCAAATTATACTTTGTTCTCAAATTGTTAATGTTAACATTGTCAGCATTGCGTGACTACATGTATATCTCCACCTCCAACATCCTCACACGCAACATAGCCTACTAGCCGAACCTCCTTCTTTATGTGTACTAGGGATGCATCGATCCGATACTCAGTATCGGTATCGGCTCCGATACTGCCATTTTTGCCGGATCGGGTATCGGTCAGAGGAGGCCGATCCAAATCCGATATTGTGCGTATTATTCTGTGTTATTGTTAAGCCCCACAAAAGGCACAAAAACATTATCAAGTACCATAAAGTTTTCGTGCACTATCTTATAAGTGTTCTGAAGCCATTATATAGTATAATGTGAGATAAAAATTAATATTTAAGTCATTAAATTCAAGACCTCGTAAACTTTTTCCCTCCGCTGCGGCTGTCAGTCATTCTCCATTCAGCATTTAACAGCGCGTCGCGTTCTGTTACGACAGGCAACACGATGAAACTCTCCAAGATCAAGATGATTCAATGTTACTATTATTATTCTTGATCTGTAGATAAAGGTCTATGGTTTAGCATAAAACAACTTTATATTGCTGGACTTTATTGCTGTAACTAAATCATGTTACTTTCTACCGGGCGTCTGTTAGATCGCAACACTAGCCTAGAGTCAGAGAGCACTATAATTGTTCTTCACGCGCACAGTAACTGAAATTTAAAACTGTTAAAAGAAAAGGCTCAATAAACGATTGCATAGATACTGTGTATAATACACTACGCATCGATATGTCTTTCCTTTGTGCTTTGAACTGTTCAATGCGGATTCGACGCGCTGCGCGCTGTGACTTCGTGTTGCTTCAAGCGCATCATTCTGCGCTCGGAATGCGCATAAGCGCTGTGTGCCGCACTGTATTGGATCCTTTCATAATCATATAATACTACTTTTGCGCAATGAAAGATTATTAATAGCCTTTCTTGTTCTGTCCTATCTATCATATGTTGCTGCCTCATTAAACAGCTGTGCTATACATTTAAAACATGTCTCAATTTTATAGTAGCCTATACAGGCTATATATAATAATTTATCTTTTTGATTTTTGTTATCTTGTTTTTCATGAATGTATTTTACAACAATACAAAGAGCAATGTGTAATGTTTGACCAGATTTAGTGTTACACTTATTGTCTCTTATTTGTTCCCCTAAATTTTCTTCACTAAATGTTCAGATTTTATACAATTATTGTGCACTCATGATTTTTCTAGACTAAATTGCACTGCTGAATTATCCACTAATCTAGTTTATTATAGCATTTTTGTCACAGATTATGATCATATATTTTTTGGATTTGTTGTTTTTCTTTAAAATTAAGTTGTCTGTGTTAAGTAGATTGTGTTTAACACACAAAAGAGTGATTATCAGTTCAACACACAGAGTTATAGAAATTCTACTTGATTTAAAAAAAAAACTGCACTGGTATCGGATTGGTATCGGTATCGGCCGATACTCAGAATTTTGGGATCGGATCGGATCGGTTTTGAAAAAGCGGTACCGTTGCATCCCTAATGTGTACAGATGTGATGTAATGACGCAAAGACATGCTCGAATCTCCCGCGGAAATCCACCAGTACCACTGGAATTAAAAACATTATTACAAGCTTACCGTTTTGAATCGAGCTAAAGCAAGCCGATAGTTTTGAACACTGGCTGGTTATGTATTTTCTCAAATATGTATTTTGGATAATTTTTAACCCCAAAAAAGCTACGGACTACAGCTTTAAGTAAAAATCGGCCTTTACAACTTTTACTTGTAACGGAGTAATATTTGACCAGTAGTATCTGTACTTTCACTCAAGTAAAGAAGTTGTGTACTTTGTCCACCTCTGCAAGTCACCTGTCAAGAAATGTTCAGCTCAGAGTTCAGAAAAAACACAGATGGATCTGATAGTGACAAACAGTAATGCTGTTCATCAGGATGTGTTAACAGCAATATACTAGGTTAATTGTAGAGTTTAGGTTAGGGGTTAGTTTCAGTGTTGTGTTGGCATGTTTGTGCTGAAAGGGATAGTTCACCCAAATATTAACTTAAGATTCTGTCATCATTTACTCACCCCCAAGTTGTTCCAAACCTGTATTCATTTTTTTCTTCTGCTGAACTTTCTTCTTCTGATTATGATTCAATCTTCACATTTCCACAAGAAACTAAGAAATGCTTACCTGTGCAGAAGTTGCCGCAACTGTATTAATGGTTGCCAGGGTGTTGCTATGCGGTCTTAGGGTTTTTAGCACATTGCTACAACATAGCTCAGTTGTTCTGGGTGATTGCTATAGTGTTTCTATTTGAGCCAAATAAGAACAGCTCAATTCGATACTCTAGTCCCTAGATTAGTCTGTGAGATTATTTTCACCTTTATTTATTGTTTATCAAATCAGTCAAATCAAGTTGAACATGAAGCAATTGAGCTATTTAAGTATGAGCTTATAGTGATGTTTACATTACAAACATAACTAATTAGCAATAAGCCACAAGAGGCCACACGATTTTTGCAGTAATTCTGCAGCAATATGAGAACCGACCAATGTTCAATTAAGATTACATTTATTAAAGTTCACAATAAACAATTCTTGCGTTTGGCATTGCAGTTCATTAACCTAACTGTAAATTGTTTATGGTTGCCTAGCAACTTGGTGCAATAATATTAATAATATACAACTGACGTGCAATCATGCATGCACAATCATGCATTATGGATGTGGCTCGTTCAATAAAATTTTAGAGCCAAAACTATACTGTTGTTTTGCTTTTGATCACAGAGCAAACATGTTGCTGAAGTCTTACAGTTTGCTTATGAAAATGGGTTAATGACTTGAGACCGCTGAAGTCTGAAATAAGAATGTAAATTAGGGAAAGACGTGTATTGAGTAATGTGTTTAGGGCATCACCCGGTGGTATTTTTCTGTTTCAGCATTAGCGTCCCAGAAGACACCGTTCCTCTATTAAACTTCTGATGATTTATATGGAGTTTACAAAAGGAAATGATTACGAGCTCTGTTGAAGACAGCAAAATGAACCTGTATTTGTGCAAGGCTGCAGCTGGGTTCTCACATGTGGCTCTTTGGGTCAATGTGGCCAAACCTGCTGTTGACTTAACCCAGTCAGAGTGGAGAGAGCCAACCCTCGGGATCAGCATTGCTGTTCCCAGCTGCAGTTTTCGTGAAGAAGGTGTCTGAAACCTAAAAAGTGCTACCTTTTGTAGGCAGTATACGGGGGTAGGAAGGCACATCTGATCCAATGTCAGCTAAAAATTTTATAGTGATAATTTTTTGGGCCGTATTGCCCACCCCTAGCGGTGGGATTGGATGACTGTGTTTAGAGAGAGAAAATTTGCAGCCCTGCCCGTGCAGAAAGGAACAGGCCCTCATTACTAGTGTGATGAACCCAAGGCTGACGGATGTGGGCTAGCGGAGGGGTAAAGAAAACCACAGCTAAACACAAGCTCCTGTCAGCAAAAGCCAAAGGAATGATAGTTTCATTCAAACCACAGGACCGCCTGAGTGGAAGCATCACTTGTGATCTGTGAATGAATAAGACCTACCGGGTATATAAACAATGTTAAACTTCCTTGGAAGTTTTCAGGGTTTAATGTTTTACGTTGAATTTATTTATTTTATTTTATTTACTTGACAGTGACAATGATCAAAAGTCCCCCTGTAGTCAATAATTGTATCCCTTAAAACTCATCTTTGATCACCAAGATAGCATAAAAAAAAAAAAATCCTTTTTCTCCATATGCTAAAGCCTGCCAACAAGTTGTTCTGTTTCCCACAGGATTTTGTGAAACTGTGGTGGGTAGCAATAATATTATAATAAAACAAATGCACTGAAAAATAAATGAAACTTTTATAATTAGTTTTGTCCTAATCTCTATACATGCAATAGATAAACGTGAGCTTTTATTTTGACAGTTGAAATATATTATCGGGCCATCACAGTCTAATTAATGAATGGAAAGCAATGAAATCTATTTGTGGCGGTCAATGTTGATTTTGTGGCTGGCCACCACAAATAAATAAATGTATAGGAAACACTGAATGGTTACAAGGTAGTTTGTGACGTCAGAAACATCAGCGATTTCTAATCATGTTTTTGAGACTGTCTTTGGTTCACTGCAGTTTTAAGGAGAAAATACTCAGCAATGGTGTTGACTTATGAATTTGCACATGGTTTATCTTAAAGCATATTAAAAACACCACATAGACATATAAACAACATTAAATACATGATTTTCACCACAGGGGGACTTAAAATAAATAAAATAATTTCCTCTTTCTGCATTTCACCTTTTCTCTAGCTTGTGTACTAATATAGATTATAATTCAAACTTGACATTGTTTACTATAAATATTATTGACTCTTATTGCTTTAAGCGATTGTTATGTAGCTTTGTGTTGATGTGCAAGCATCTTCTTTCATCCCCACAGAATGATACTGCCACCATCACACTTCACAGTGGGTACGGTGTATTTGTGATGGAGGGCAGCGTTTGGCTTGCTCTAGATGGGGTTTGGTCTGACGGCCAAAAAATGGCTCAATTTTGGTCTCATGAAACCATTGAAGCTTCTTCCAGCTGGCTGCAGAGTCTCCCACATGCCTTATGGCTCAATGTAGCTGAGATGCCATGTGACATTTTTGAACAGTGGCTTTCTCTTCAGCAATCTCCCATCAAACTGTGAAGCTTTTTCAGTCACTGAAGCTGAATTCTCAAGTCTCATTGACTCATACTCTCATACTCTAGAAGGATTTACAGTTGTGCCGTGATATTTCTATTTCTTAATGATTGATTTGATGATTGTTTTATTTGAGATATTTTGTATAGATCTATTTACACTTTTACATTAAAGAGAAGTAATTAGTCAAGTGTTTAGTGTCGTTTTGAAATCACTTAAGTGCATATTCTTGTATCTCTGTTTCTTGTAGTCTGTGCTCTCTTGCAATCCTTGTTAGCCAGGAAACAAGTAGACAGCTTTTGAAATTTAAAGAGATTTTAAAATACTCTGCATTATACACTATATGAACTTTGAAACTTACAGAAAAAAAAAAACCCTGGCCATCACACACTAAACGACTTTCAAGTCATTCTTAACACAACAAACTCATGAAGCAACATGTGCCTCATTGCAATGAGATGCATGACAAATTAAAACAATGTTATTAAATTGGCTCAATATATCAAACTCCTCAGACTGGATGGAATCACACTATGGGTAAAATCTGTCAACTCTGACTGCCCAAAATCAGCAAAATGGCTCTGACTTTCGGCAGCCAGCGTTGACTCGTCCAGACTTCAACTGAGGGCAAAACTCTGAGCAAAATGAGTGCAGTGTATAGCAGCCTTTAGTTTAGGGATGGGACGGTATGAAAATTTCATATCACGATTATAGTGACCAAAGTTATCACGATTATCAATATTATCACGGTTTTGTTAAAATGAGATGGAAATGTTCAAAAAGAACTGATGCTCACCCTGAAAACATTTGAAAATCAACAAACAAAAAAATACAATTAGCAAGCTAGCAGCTATGCACTTTTTTAAGCATAAACATTATATTAACATTAACATGGAGCCCTGAGAGTGAGAGGTATAAGTTTTCCTAGTGCAGATTTTAATGAACCCGTCATTAAACCCTATCATCAATAATGATAATAACACTTATGGATGTGTGTAAGTTATTATGACTGAATATTATTATTATTAATAAATCACTTTCTCTCTCTCTCTCACACACTCACACACACACGCGCGCACGCACGCACACACACTTTAAATGAACAAAATATGTTGGTTGGGTCAGGGTGACTAAACTACTGGAATACTTATAATGACTGTTGTAAATAGCAACGCACTACACAGCGCACATCCATGTCTCGGATCACCGTGGACGCAATCTCTGGTTTCATTCAAATGTGTATGTCTTGCGTCTCAGTTTTGACTGTTTTGAAAATTAAATCAGAGTAATTTAGTATTAATACTACTACAATATTGTTGTAGTGATCACATTTACTTTACGATTGATTTGGACACTGTAACTTGTATAATGGATTTATAAACCGGCAAGATTTAAAAACATTAAGTTAATCACAATTCAATATTTCATGTCCCTTAAATTATTTCTGTGGTAAAAAATAAAAAAATAAAACTGTAATAAGTTTACTATGAATGAATACAATACATTATCCCTTAAATGTCACCCTTAATAGTTTGAATATGTTCGTTCGTCTTGGCTCAAATCCACTTGCTGTAAAACTTTTCTCTTCGCGGAAGCTTTGCAACAAGTGAGATAATGAAATAATTCATCTCCAATAAATTTTTTGTCTAATTATTTGCCCAAGTTAGTTGTGGTATTAAGGTAAAAATTAACTCAGTGGGTGGTTGTCACGTAACGTTAGATGACTTAGCAGATTTGACGTGTTTCCCCCTTTTGCAGCGACTTTCCTCTTGCAAGATTTGCAGACAGGGTGCCCATCCTCGATTAAATTGCCCTCGGGACTCTTGTAATAGCCAAAATACGACCGTACCTCCGATTTTGTCCTCTTGGATGGCTGAAAAATCTCCCGTGCGCTGTCACTGACTTCCGCCATGTCTTCTCGCGCAAAAAAACAACATTGCATCTGCGCGCCTGCTGAGTGCTCGCGCCTGCGTCAGACTGATTCTGGCTGGACAGGATTTACCGCGAGTTTTCAAAATCACGATAATCAAACACGGTTTTTATGATAATTAAATTTTAAACGATAATACTAACCGCCAGGACATTTTATCGTGGTTTATCGTGAAACCGGTAATCGTCCCATCCCTACTTTAGTTATTGGGTTGGTAATGTGTATTGTACTGCATGTGTACAGGTCAGAGTGGTTTGGGGAAGTCCACACTGATGAACACGCTCTTCAAGTCAAAGGTGAGCCGTAAGTCTTTCCTGGGCACGGCTGAGGAAAAGATCCCTAAAACCATCGAGATCAAGTCCATCAGTCATGGTAAGGCTGCACAGCTGGATTTTCTATTTTCTATGATTGTCCATTAGCGTGTCAATCATACATTTACATGTATGTATGGCCATTCAACCATTTTGATCTTGAGTTCAAAGCATGTAATCTGCCACTGGAATGCAATAAAATATATTAATTTAATTTCAGATGTCGAGGAGAAAGGAGTTCGAATGAAGCTGACAGTCATAGACACACCAGGGTTTGGCGACCAGATCAATAACGAGAATTGGTAAAGACCGTTTGTTTGTTTGTTTGTTTGTTTGTTTGTTTGTGACCTCAGTTTTAATATGCTGTAAAATTCCCTCAGTTTAGTCAGAATCTCTTCTGTGACATATAAATGACAGTCTAAAGCAGTTCTGTTAGTGTTGGCGGTATAGTTTTGTTCTGGGCACGCTCTATTTATGGAGCCATGCTTGGATGCAGAACAGCATTCAGACTCCCAAAAATAAAACATCTCCAACCATCAAAGTGATGGGGACCCAACCACCAGGTTCTGAAACAAATGCTCCAAACCAGAGCCATAGAGAGAAAGAGTTGCGACACGCTTTGATGTCGCCGCGACGGCTGTCACGTGGTTCATGTAAGCCCCATTAGTTCCAAAACATACGCGGGCTGTCATGTTCTTCTATGGACAGACAGCAGCGATTGGATTATTAAACGGTAAATATAAAATAAAACACACACCCAAGTACTTTTTAAGCTGGTATTGCATTTTGTTAATGTCAGTTTTGCATTTGGAGAGGCAGGGTGACAACTTAGATAAGTTTTAGGCTATTTTTTTGGAGGGAAAAGCTTAGTGTTCATGTTCGCATGGGTAGTACGTTAGCACTGGCTTTAGCGGCTCTAACTTAACTTTTCCATGTCATTCATCTGATGATGGACGTCTCGTGATATTTATTTTAGCACAACTGGGCTGTATTAGGCTATTGATTCCCGTGATCTTGCTTATAAATTCCGATTCAGCCATTAGCCTACCTTCGTGATCACGCAAAGAGGTCTGCAGTCCGTTCAGAATTCCAACCAACACAAAATATAAATAATTACGCTGTGCATGTACAAATGAATGATTTAGGAGGGAAATAGACTGCTCCCATAACGTAGAAAGCAACGACTATATACAGCAATGTTCGGTAAATATTCAACCGAAAAATATTCTTCATAAAATTAAACCGGAGAGATAGTTAAAACCTGTTAACCGTCACCAGTGCGTGGGCGCTCTGAAGCGTTTTTTTTTTAAATAGTTCAAAGTTACTATCATATTTAATGTGATTAACTTGACAAACTATACATCATTAAAACGATATAAGACTCAAGTTTCAGTATTTGACCACTATTGTATTCTGTGAAACTTATAGTGACAGTTATGTCTTAATTTGTGTCAGGAGTTATGAAATAAAAAAATGAGTCGTTACCTTTAATATGAATTATGAGCGTCAGCTGCTCTCATTCAGAAAAAAACTCCCGTGCGATCGTCATGACAGCGATTCACAAAACAACGTCCCTCAGGGCTTTTAGCTCAAACATGTGCAGATTTGGAGAAATATTGATAGATTCTCATAGGTTTACATCAGACTTCTATAGACAGGAATAATATTTATTGAATTTATACCCAAATGCGTCGATGTAATCATTTTGAGCGCTGTATACTCTGATGTACTGTGTTATCAATTCATACTGAAGTCTGAGGGCGCTGTTTGCACAGTAAAGTCCATATATGGATCACATGAAGAAGAGCCATAATCATGTGACATTCAGGAAGTCCTGACACATAAACAAAGCTATCCGAGATCGCTGTAAAGTGCAGATAAAGATGTTTTGAAGACAATAAACATGATTGCAATGATATTTGATTTACCTGTGTTCTTCGAGTCATGTCAGGTATTTTCATAATAATAGATTATATGTATAATGTAATGCTAATCGAGATAGACTTTCAAATTGTGCAGAATACAATAAAATAATATATTTTCTATCTGATTTTTTTATCTGAAGCCAAATCAGATTACAGAAAGTTATTTAAAACACTCGACTTGCGCTATAAAGTAAGTTGGAGCACAAACATAGTTTTATTCTCATAAATTGTCGTGTATTGAGGGTGTGCTAAGCTAACATGCTAGCTAGTACTGAGCACCTGCTACCTAACTTCGATGTAATTTTTATGATTTTTTTTCTAAATAAGAATGCTTACTGAAATGTTTCGTTTTTCAAAAAGGGCATTTGATACAGTTTCACTGTGAAGTGAGAACTTTTATAAAATAAATGAGGGATTGAAACAGTGTGAATTGCTAGTCGTTAGTGATTATAATGCAGACAAAAGAAAAGCATATTTAGAGCAATAAACAGGCTGGAGAGGTGTGAATATGTGCAGGGGAGACTGACACTGAATGGGACTCGTTTTTGCATCACAAAACAATAGAGGCAATAGACTGAATAGATGCTTATAAGATGACAATAAACACCAGTCTAATCAAAATAAAGTCATATGACATGATCTTGAAAAACATTGAACTAAATACAGAGTTTTAGACTTATCATCTTCAGATTTTAAATATAACATGGCTAGACATGTGGCTTTAGCTGCAGTGCATTTCTAGATTGCTACAATGCCAACTTCAATTTTATTTTCATGAAGATGTTTCATAAAAATAAATGTATAATAACTTTACAAAACTTTGAAGCTATTTATAACTATTTTTTTTCATTATGACAATAATTAATTCTACATTTACAATAAACTTCCAGGTGTCAGCTTTCAAATGAGATCTTACTTGTGCTTTTAGTACAAAGGGTTCTTGAACTGTATCTGTTTCAGTTTGGGAATGCCATATCTGGGGATTTTTCAAAAATGGGCTTGAAGCTTAACAGGTTAATGAGTGAATTAACTATGTTCCTAAATACATATAAGCACATGCATAACCCTCCCTAACCCATTTAAATAAATGAATTGTGTTTGTGTGTGTATATAATATTATATATAGGTTATATATATATATATATACATTTAAAATATTATTAAAAATATTATATATTATATACATCAGGTTACCAGTTAGCTAACGTTAGTGAAGTGTTGGTCACGTAAGCTATCGCTGCAATTAACCTATTATCTTCCAATAAACATTTACTAAAACTGGCTACATTAAATATAACTACAGACTAGATTCACGAGAGGTCGGCTAATGTGTGTAAAAGTAAAAAAAAATACAGTAATTTCATTAATTTACCAGCGAACGTACTTCGGAAGCACTGAAAATGAATGAGGTTCAATGGAGAAACTATCAGTGTTTGGAACTATTGGCCGCTCCACGACACGCGTTACTTCCGCATTCCAAAGTTCCTATGGCGGTCTATGGGAGTGTCGCAACTCTTTCTCTCTATGGCTCTGCTCCAAACAAGCCAGGTGTGAAAATGCCCATAGAGACACTTGAAGGGAAAAGTGTCATTACATTACTCTCTCTCTTTTCAACAGTTGGCAGCCCATAATGAAATTTATCAATGACCAGTATGAGCAGTACTTGCAGGAAGAGATCAATATTGACAGGAAGAAGAGGATCCCAGACTCACGAGTGCACTGCTGCATATACTTCATACCACCCACAGGACACTGGTTAGTAAACATACATGTACTTTTTAGAAGTGGCATTATGATCTTGAAACAGATGGATATGTGGACCTAAACACTGGATATGTGTTTGCATGTCATGTTGTGGGTTTGAATACTCAAACCATGTGTAAGGAAAGCCTTGTGCTGCATATACCGCATGTCTAGTAACTAATATCAGTTGTGTTAGCATGAATAAGTTTTGTACATGTGTGCATTTATTCAAATGTGGCCTGCCTAATGATGTTTATGTTCAGTAAGGGGGAAAACTGGTGGAAAAGGAGGGTAAAGAAAGTCAGGGCCTCCAGAGGGCAGTACTGTTCCAAGTGATGTTCAATAGTTACAATTGTTTTCAACTTTAATATTAATAGTAGATGTTTCTTGAGCACCAAATCAGCATATAGAGTGGTGCAAGTATGACATCAGAAACCGGTTTTTCAATTTTTTTTGTAAAATAAAGCCTGTGGTACACATCTTGTCGATACTTTGACATTGTTCTACAACTTAAACTGCACACACTTACACCAAAACTGCCTTATCTAGTTACTTATTAGAAACATACGTTTTCAAAAATAATAAATAACAGCTTCAAATTCACGTTTTCGCTATGAGTGTTTGCGGTTACATTGTAGAACAAAACGTTAAAGTATCATCAAGTTATGCTTGTAAAATTGATGTTGAGGAGAGTCACCACACTTCTTATTTTTACAAGACCTTGTATAACACATTAATAACACTGACCTCTGGCTGGAAGGGCAGGTTTTTAACAATGTCACTCTTACAGAAACATTTAGCAATCCAAACAGCATTAACTGAATTTCAATACACGGTTCTTTGGGATATTAAAACATTTTATAGAATGAAATATGATTCCTGAGCAACTACTGTTTACATCAGGGATTTGTAGTCACTAGTATTTAACATTAGCAGATTTCCTTTTTACATCTAATAACATCTTTGTGCCAAATTAAGTGGGTGGTCTGTTCTGTTGTTTGTCTCTGATGGAGAATCATTGTGTATGCTTGTGTTTTTATAGCTGTTGTTGGACAGCATGAGTCTCTCCAGACATTTTGAATTATTTCTCATTTACTACAGGAGAATTTGTAGCTTTTGTAACATTATAAATGTCAATGCTGTCACCTTTGATCAATTTAATGCATCCTTGCTGAATAAAATAATTAATTTCTTTTAAACAAAAATCTTAGTGACCCAAAGCTTTTGAATGGTAGTGTGTATATGTATTTCCATGCATTTTCTTGGCACATCATTTATGCACATGAACAAAGCTGTTTGAGTTCCTCTTAAGAGTCCATGTCACCAAATCCTCTGAGACATAAGACCGTGTATTCATTCATCAATTCATCTCATTTTGGAAAAGATCTAAGGACTCTGAACGCACATGCCGAACGCACATGCCAACCACACACTCATGGATTTGTTGTGTCCTGGTCCCCCCAGAGTGTGTGCTGCGGGCCTTTCTGTGGCCGCAGTGAATGTCTGACTGTTTCATGGCTAAACTTGGCTAATTAGAGTCGAACAGTCACTCTGGCAGGAGATCTGTATGCCTTTTTATTCTTCACTTTTTTCGCATCACATTCAAAGGTCACCGTTCACCTTCTGTTTGAATAATCTTTCCATCCACAAGCATCTTTAGAGCATGTCATATCTTAGAGCATGTATATTTTGGGTGTTTTTCGCCCTCTGGTGGTTAAGTTACAGTCCTGTTAACAGTAATGTAGGTTTCACTATACATCTATTTTTCCTGTCATTTCCTCAGTCTCAGGCCTTTGGATGTGGAGTTTATGAGACGTCTCAGCAAGGTGGTGAATATCGTTCCTGTCATTGCTAAGGCTGACACCCTGACTCTGGAGGAGAGGGATTTCTTCAAAAAGAAGGTGAGCTCAAATTTGACAGACAGATAAATGCTTAAAGGGATACTTCACCTCTAGAAAAATGAACGTGTATTTAAAATGGGTCATTTCTGTAGAAGAAATGTGAAATTATTTCTGAATTTGGAACTGAGAAAAGCCAGAAAATGTATTTTTGGCTTATGTGGATGAAAGACAACAACTCCCAGAATGCACTTGCTTCGCTGTCCTAGGAGGCCACGCCTACCGGTAACAGAGCTTAGTAGTTAAACAACAAGTCTAGGCTACTAGTGAGTCTCCGTGATGAGTCTGCCCGAAAATGTGTTTCGAGATCTTCCAAAATGTCCGGGATTCGGCTTTTGCGTTCTACAGTCGCCATTCATTATGTTTACTGTGGCGAGCAATTGAGCAATTCCATTCATACATAAAGTGGCAAATCAGTGTTTGCTAAGTATTTTTAGAATTAAAATGTCAGGATGGCCCTGTCCTAATATCATTATAAAGAAAACATATTTAAACAAATGAAATTCTTGAAAAGAAAACCTTAAAGTGGTCCTATAATACTTTTTCAACTTTAGATATTTTAGATATTTTAACAGAACTCACTTTCCAAAAACTACAACAAAAGGCTCATTTGGACTACAACACGTTTTTTCCGGATCTTATGAAGTCAAAATGTTCCTCATTTAAATAACCCCCGCCAACGGAATATGCACAAAAGGGTGACAAGGCCTGGCTGAGCTGCATTATAGAAGACAGTGTTGTCGCGATGTCAATGAGATGGTGTTTTGTCCCCCTGTTTCCAAAACCTTCCTAAGGCTGACGAACTTAAGAGTGGTTCAAATTTATTTTAAACATTGTTCCTGAACATTATAACCCCAACGTTTATCTGTGAGCTACACATTTTACGGAGAACAGCTTCTAGAACTAAAGAGAGTACAATGCACTCTTAATTTTAAAAAATTAAATAAAATAAAACATCCCACTCTGAAACGTCCTGTGAAATCTGTGCTTGCAAAGTCTGTGAATGAAATCCGTTCTGCACAGTCCTCTTGATTGTTAACATTCTTAAGTCTGAATCAGGCTTGAATTGGTTTGAAATTGATGCCATCCTTAATATTTACATTGAGTAGAGCTCACGGTTATGAAGGGGCGTGACAACAACAGACAAAATACAATGTGCATCTGTGTGCAGTGAGCCCCAGTAGGATAATATGAATGCCACAAGTCGATACATTGATGTGTGAAAGAACTGGTAAAGGCTGTCATGTTGTTACTCTAGCTGTAGTTGGCAAACTGAGTCTTTTTCTTCCCTAGGAGATTTCCCAAATTGCAGATGGTGTCTCCTAAAGCTTTTACAGAAACACTGCTTCCCTGTGAAAGCACTAATGCAGATTTATTTATGACGGGATGGTGGATTACTTAATATGCATGGCAAAAAAAAAAACAGGGACTGTCTTGGAAGTCCTAAACTTTTTGATTATTCTGAAACAAAGCCACAGTGGACTAGTTTATGCAGTTTTAGAGCAGTGCTATGAAGCTGAGATGACACATGGTATGATGAAGTGTAGGTAAGAAACATCTGTTCTGGGGTGGTTAGTGCCGTTTCACATAGCAGTAAGGAAGCGCTCGCCAACCTATCGGCTCCTTGTGCTTCTGCTGGCGTGCCTCTTACATGCTGTTTGGAACACAGACATAGATCTTTCTCTGTTTTGGAGAAATCTCCGGAACGATTCCAAAAACGTTTCTTAATTCAACTTTCATGGAAAAAATTAGAATGTCACAATATTGACGTATTAAAGATTTTTCGATTTTATCAATGTTTCTAAAGACTACATGGTTTTTCTTTATCTATATACTTTTCTCCTGAAGCACTTAACTGTTTTCATTTTGTGTAGATCAGGGAAGAGCTTCGAGCCAATGGGATTGACGTCTATCCACAGAAAGAGTTCGATGAGGATGCGGAGGACAGAACAATCAATGAGAAAATAAGAGTGAGTTTGCATTACGCTTAGAAAAGCATCCATAGTTCATTAAAAACATTGCGATATTATCTGTATCCTTTATTTTACCCTTAGGAGATGATTCCTTTTGCAGTAGTAGGGAGTGACCAGGAATACCAGGTCAATGGGAGAAGACTCTTGGGAAGGAAAACAAAATGGGGAACTATTGAAGGTATTGTGACTCTTTGTTCTCTAAACTTCTTTAGAGGAGAGATGGAGAGAAAGTGATTAGCGGACTATGCAGACAGCAACGTTCCAAAAGCACATCAAGGGAGCTCATTAACCACAGACACACGGCTATGAGTCAAACATCAGAAAGCCTTATCAAATGAAGACCATTATAAGAGCGTCATTTTGACTGTGTGTCAGCAAGCTGCTGGACTGTTAAAATGCCTTTATCACGAATAATCATTCATTATCTCTTGAGTATTATTTGAGGAATAGAAAGCCCAAAAGAATAGCATTTATGGAGAATATAAATCTTTTGTATCATTGTAAATGTCATATATTATATAATATTAAAGGTATAGCGGAGGATCTTTCCGAATTTTAGAGAAGACCCGCCCTCTCCAATTTATAAAAAAATGCACATGCGCAACACTCTATTTGCTCCCGAGAGGGAACGCCTATTAAACTTTTACTAGCAGTGATTTTAAATGGATTTCTCCAAATAGCATGACAAACTTTACCTGTCTAGTAGAATCTTCGCGACTGCAGCATCAGTGGGAAGCCCAACATGTGCTTTTAGCGCACGCCAGCGTGTGAAATATTCACCCAAAATCACTCTGGTCTTGTTTCTATATTCTGCGGCCTTTCTCTTTTTATCATACACTTCGTATACATTTTTTCTCTTTCGACCCTCAGCCATTTTCAAAGGAATGGCTGAAACCGTAACTCATCACACATAATACACCTGAAAGTGCGCATGCGCAGAAAGCGAAAACTACATAGGGACGAGCACGTACGACGGCCTTACGTAAACATATCACCAGAATGATTGACACTTAGGTGGACCAATAGTATAGGCTACCCACCCGGAAAAAGAAAATCCTCCGCTATACCTTTAATTATTATATTATATATTCATTATTATATTAATTATATTATATTATTGTCTTTTTCACGAACTGTGATGATGCATTTCCAGTTATCAACATCGCAAATCTGGTCATATTTTACTTATTTTCTATTTGTTTTTATTATACACATGTATAACGCTATGCTTTGTTATATTGGCAGTAAATGACAAAAAAATAATAATAATAAAATAAATGTTGCTGCGAGAGTTTTCCTAATACAATGGCTGAGGGACTGATGGCAAATTTGACACCTTTCTCTCTTCTAACTGCTGTAATCTATCCCTTTTTTCGAAACTCGTGGAAACGCTATCGCGGCTTTTATAGCAAATGCAAATATAATAGTTATCGTCTCCCATTCATCGCTATAGAAGTTTGACGACTTCTGCTTCTGAGAAATGTGAACAGGGTCTATTGTAGAGCAATATACAGCCTTGTTTGAATAGTAACTACATGAATGTGGGCAGTCTATGTGCTTAGCTGCTCACATAGTAAAACTCTCTTATTTTTGGTGAGCTGTTTTGAGAGTCAAATGGCTCTGTAATTATCCTGTAATCTTTTTGAAGAGCTTGACTCCTCTTATTAAAGTCTCTTTGAAAACCTTTAATTTCCTGTACTGGATGTCTGCTCCATGGAGGCTTTCTCATTCATGGAGTTTGACATAATCTATAATTCATAAACATTTTTTCACATCCAGGCATTTGTCAAGCTCTCATGGTAATCTTTCAGGAAGTCTTTGGTTTAAATGGAATTACTAGAGACTAGGGTGGTTGTCTTATCTTTGTTCACCGCTTTACCTAGTGAACAAGTGGTCTTTGCTTTTTATGTTGCTCCAATTGGCTAGAGTGGAAGAACTTTCAAGTAGATCTAATAAGTGCTCTTTACTCTCTGTTTTTAACTCTGTCTGTTGCGTTTTGTTGTCTATAGTTGAGAATATTGCCCACTGTGAGTTTGCCTACCTGCGGGACCTCCTTATAAGGTCAGTGGATTAAGTCTATGCCTGTTGTTTAACAAACAGTATTACAGTATACCCTTGTAGAACTGTGCTTAATTTTGTTAAATGTGAAAAAAACAAAAAAGTTCAGCTAATTGCATTTAATATAAATTTAAACCATAATACATTTTCATTCAATTGCAATTAACATGCAATTAAGTGTCCACAAACAATACATATAGTTTGTTCTAAAATATATTATTTTAAAGCAGATTATTTCTCTTTTTAAAAGTATGCTAAAGTGTACTGCTTTTTCACAATTGTACAGCTGTGATTGTTTATCCAAAAATGAAATTCTATTGTCATTTTCTATTATTTACTCTCTCATGTCGTTCCAAATCGGTATGACTTTCTTCTGTGGAAAACAAAATATCCATATCATCCATACAATGAAACTACATCTTCCGTTGTATGGTCAAAACAAAATAATAATGAGACATTTTTCAGAATATCTTATTTTGTGTTCCACAAATAAAAAAGTAGGCCATATCGGTTTAGACCTTTTTGAGGGTCATTAAATAATTGTAATTTTGATGTGGACTTTAATTCTGATAGTGTTTTCATCATCATAACTCTGTGATTGGCTCATGTTCTGCAGAACCCACATGCAGAACATTAAAGACATCACCAGCAGCATCCACTACGAGATGTACCGCGTCCGCCGGCTCAACGAGAATAACACTCAGGCAAACGGCCTCGGCGAGCACCATCCGGCCTCCCACGAAATCTAGCGCCCCGAAATAAACAACCCCTACGCTCCTGTTCCTCACTCCTCTCCAATCCCCAACCCTCCATTCACCTTACACTCCTTTCCGCCCCCTTCAATCAACCATGGACCTGAGGTGAAGAGGTCCATCAAGAGAAGCACATAATGACTTTACCTCCAAGCAACTCCAGCACAGTGCTCCTAAACCCTCAAGCCGCCTGCACGGGCACTGGAGGGGCGAAGAGGTCAAAAATACAGCCGTTAAAGAGCTTCTCTATATACTGCATGCGTTTGACTCACTCTGTTGATGCTTCAGGTCTGTGCTTGCAGAAGTTGATTACGAGGCAGTTTCTGATTGGTCAAGCTGTGCAAAAAGCTCTTCACATGCAGCAGCACTCTTCCTTTCGATATCGCCATGATTATTTTACAGGAAAATGCTCAGAACGCTCCTTTTATGTGATTCGTCGAATGCTCTCTTAATATTTATGCTTAATTTTGAGCGAGACAGATAAGAGACAAGGCCAAGTCATCTTTTGAACCCAGAGCTAAAGTGGCAGCACCTTTTAATATCCATTCCACTTTATAAAACTACAGGATATCTGATGTCTATACATAAAAAGGAAATACTAGTTTCCTACAACATTGTGGAGAACCTGGTGTGCCATTGTTTCTGCAAATTTGTTCATGAAATCTGTGCAAATAATTACAGGAATATTGACTCTGGACCCCCAGTACCATATAAAAACATAGTGATGAGGTTTGGGAGTTGTGTTGGAAAGATTATCCAAATTGAATAGTATTTATGTGGATTAAATGAGATCGTCTCATAATTTATACAGACGATCTTATTTATTGCAGAATGTGACCTGAACTGGACAGAGAATAGCAATGTCTTCAATGTATTTTAATGAATCGTTTAATTGTGTGTATAATGTCCACCTGGTACACTGTTTTTATCAGGCCATGTTCAGTGCCATTTATCTTAAACCTTCCAGAACGCCTCGTTCTCTTCCAGTCATGCTGAATATGTGGAAATCTTGTCAGTTTAGGAGTCTTGTTTTTGTCTTAGCCTAGAGGAAAGGGCCTACAGGAGAGGAAACTTTAGGTGCCAAGATGTCTGTGTGCCTTAAAGCTGCCTGCCACGTCTGATGAGGAGCCACTTTTAACAACGGTGAAGTTCCTCAGGCTTTGTTCTTGTCTGCAATACCCTTTATTAATGCTCGTCATTGGGAAAATATCTTTTTGTACTGTGCTGTATATTCATAGTGATACAATTTTTGTATTGGTATTCAGAGTAACACAAATAACTTTGATATCCTGTTATTTTAAGGAAATAAAGATTTAAATGGTAAATAATTATTTTGACTCTTTTTATAAATGTAATTGCTCAAATTATGTGGTCCTGGGACAGATTTGTTGATTAACAATGAGTTCTGTTTTCCACTCCATGATATTATTTTGCATCTTGGTACTAAATTAAGTTGTCCGTCAGATTCAATTACCTGCTTTTATTAAAGCCATATAATTTTGACATTTGCTCTTCAACAAGTATATGAAAATTGCTTATTTCTAATACCTCTCTGTAATTGCTTTTATTAATAAGGTTATTGTATATTCATTATGTCAGATACATTATTTGGCTTTATTTATATCTGGATCAGTACTGATTATATGGCGTTTTAACAGGGCACAATTTATTTTACTTTTTTTTTCTAATTCAGTGTAACATGCTCTCATTTCCTCTGGATCCATTCTGCTTTTTTAGCATAGAGATGAACTAAAAATCTGATGCTTTTTTAACTTTACATGTACTGGAAGCCTTTACAGAATTGATACTCCAGATGCAAGTAATTTATGTTTTTCAGCAGGTACCATGTACAGCGTTTTAGGTCAATGCTTGGACTAAACGGCTTACTTGAATTAGGTATCTTACAGAGCACAATCACACCTAAAGCACCTGTCAGTATCACACTTATTGAAGTTTTATTTTATTGCCTTGAAATGTAATTATTGAAATTATGTTTTGGCCTTTTTTAGGATCATTTAGGTGCTTGGAGTTGATTTCACCCAGGCATTTCCAGCAAATATCTTATACACTTGTAAATACCATTGATGCTTTTAAAATAATGTCCTCTTTTGCTTCATCATTATAATTGTAATGTGTTGCATATCTGTATTTATGTACTTCCCCATCCATCTCAAAATGGAGATGCATTCTTATCGCTGTTAAAATGGCACCCCGTTTTCTCACCTTAACAGAAACAGATGGTGCCCTGCTTTGCTTGCACCTTATGTCTACACCTCTGCCTCTCAGCTCACAGGACTCTGTTTCCCAGATTCCTTCTTTCCCGTATCTCACGGAATGAGACAGTGGGGCGTCTGTTCCCCACTACGGTCTGTTTGCTCTCCCTCCCTCCTGCTCCTCCCTTTATTTGCGCTTTTGCATGTTACTGTAATTAAATTAATTTGCCATTTGAATGAGCATAGTTTGTCTGTGGATGCCATCTTCATGAAGACGAGAGAGCCCCTTGAGTGCACTTATTAGTGGGCAAAGCCCCCCACTGTTACAGTGCACTAAACTCTAAAGGTGGCATATTTATTTTGCCCCTGAAGACTAATTCCTGATCTCTGCTTGATGCACGTGTTTGTATTTGCGGTCACTAATTATATGCTGTCTTGTCTCATCTGCGCTTTGGGAAAAATAAATCTGCTTAGCAACTAACGGTTGTCATCTGACCAGCTCCAGCAGTCGAAGACTTCAGATTCTGTACAATACAGAGATAAACTGAATCAGTTTTATGTTATGGCCAAATAAAATGCTATACTAATTTGTCTGATGACTCTAAAATCATTTTAGATGCTGTGCTATAATGGCTTGCCACTGTAGATCGTAAAGCCAAACCAGTGCGAACCACTGGTCTATACACTTTCTCCAGTCTTTGTCTATGTGTTTGTTTGTTTGTTTGTTTGTTTAATTAACTATAGCTACTGTGGGGAAAAGTGTCAGTCCCGTATGTAGCTTTTCCTCACATTGAGGAAAGCAATGGGGAGGCAACATTTGTTTTGATATCACATTAATAAATATCAACACTCAATCTGCGTTGTAAAAAAATGCTTTGATATGTTTGCATGGTGCGAGTATTCATGTAAATACGAAATGTACAGATTGAAGAGGTGTGGGTAATGTTGTCATCATCTAGAGCGACCTTTGTTCAACTCTCCTGCATTTTTCCCCCACAATAATCAGCATATGCTCGAGCCGTCCTTGAGGTCTCCTCCGTAGTGATTAGCAAAAGTCGACAGCTCTAGTTCTGACTCCACCTCTGTAATCTGCATATGTTAGCTGCTCTAAAACTGTATTAATTAAAACTGCCTATTTCCTTTTTTAAGGACCCCACTTTAATTAGACACATTACCTGCCGTTTTATTTTATATCACTGGCAGAGCGGGCATGGTTGTGGCCACCTGCCGTCATGCTCCACCTTGCCCCTTGATTGTCTCTGCAGGCATCTGTGCGATTTGTTTCGAATTTGTTTTTCTTGTCCTTTCTACATGGCTTAATTTTCCTGTTGTTGTTTTGGCTCTACCTTACTGTCTCTCTTCGTATCTCTCTCCCTGTGTTTCTTCATGTGTCTGTTCCTTTCTGTCTGCTGGCTCAATGCCAGGCTCTCAGACATGCAAGAGAGGGGTGATGCAGCCATATGCAAATCACACTGGCCTTGATTAGGAGGCAGCAGCAAATTCAATTAAACTTGGTGTGTGTGTGTTGTGGAGTTCTGTCAAGTCATGTGTTTTTATATTTTTGACATTTCAATTTTTACAGAAACATTTTTGTTGTTGTTCCAGTAATGCTTTTGGTTTTGATACATTCTTTCTTACATGTATTATTATTATTTATAACTTAAACAATTTATAACTTTTTTCCATTTAATTTAAGTTATTTATTGTAACATTATTTCTCCTTTTTTTTGAAAATAAGCTAAACTTTGTGATATCAGGTGTCAGATTTTGAAATCGTCCTGTGTGTTTCTATTGCATGCATGTTATTATTTTACATTATAAATGTATTTTATCTTAAAACTGTTATTTCTTAATTTTATTTATTACTATTTATTATTTTTAATAAGAAAGATTTTGTAACATCAGGTGTCCGGATTTGAAATCAATGTGGTGCATTTCCTTTGCATGCGCAACGGTTTATTATATACATAAGATCACAATTTGAAGAAATACAGAGAGAGAGAGAGATAAGGGGAGAGCAAGGAAGGATCCTCCCTCATTTCTTTTTGATGTGATGGTTTTTCCTGAAGCTAATGGCTGAGAGTAATTACGCAAATCAGTTTCCAGTGTTCTTGCTGCCATAACATTGAGTGAGACAATGGTGTGGTTTTGTGTTGTGCATGTATACTAATTGTACGAATGAGTTTGTGTGCTTTCATTAGTGTGTATGTGTTGTCGGAAAAAAGTAGGCACAAAGGGGTGGCATTCATTTATGCAGTTACGGCCCAGTTCAAATACTGTATGTGTACAAGGTGCCAACCTGACAGCATCTTTCTTCATCCTCCTAAGCTGTTGTTTCAACTGACATTTCATTCTTGTAGGAATGCTCAGGGGTCTGGGTCTTTGTTAAAGACTGAAACGTCAATAGAAAGGAAAAAAGACAAAATAGGTGGCTGAGTGCATGCGACACATTTAAGTTTTTGTTAGGCTGTTGGTGTCTGATTCACTCTCTTTATGGCAGGGTCTCTGGGGTTACTACACACCTCGGTCATATTAAGAGTCTTACTCTCAGGCTGTCTGATGATGATTTGTGGTTGTGTGGGCGGTCCCTAATGATGGGTATTGCTCTTTAGTAAAACGCACATGGGCTCTGCTCCAGTGAGCTGTCTAAGGAAGCAACATAGTTGCTCTCAACGTGAAGGCTGTTCAAAAAGGTAGACTACTAAATAATAATAAATAAAAAAAATATGCTTTCACCATTTCTTATATCCCTCCCTGTTCCAGCTATTCGGAATGATGTTTGAAAACATTTAATTGCTAGTGCTGCTTGTTTTATTGCCTCTTTAAGATGAATCGCTTGTTGTATTCCTCATTTGTACGTCACTTTGGCTAAAAGCATTACTAAATGAATAAATGTGAAATGTAAATTATGCTAGTTTTTGCACAATTTTGCACAATCTGTCTTCACAAAGACAATTCCAGATTGAACTGCGTTGAGCTCAGTAAAAAGTCTAAGATGGCATGTAAATAATGACCTACTTAAATTCCATTTAATACTTAGTATTGATTTTTTTATTGTTCAGTGTAATTAAAAATAAATAGTTTACTCAATATTTGTGTAAAGTAAGTAAGTGTACTAATCTATGTATTCACAATTAAATCTCCCAGTGCTTGATATTTTACAGCAGCAGCTTCAAAAATAAGTTTGAGCCTATGACTAATTTGTACAACACATGAAAGTCTTTTGAGTTAATGTTAACCACACACTTAAAGTTGCTTTAATTCGAAAAGCTGCATTCTAAAAACACTTAGGAAATTCACAAGGGATCTTCTAATTAGACTTTTGCGTTGGTCTAAAGATTGAAGTTATGTTGCATAATGAAATTGGTCTGTACATTATAGCAACACCCATTGTCACTATAACGCAGACTGAATTTCTTATAATTTCTCAAGAGCAATAACTCAAGTTCTAAGTTGTCACAATCACAGGCCACATGAATAGGCGATGGTCAAAGTATTTTGAACATCTTATAAGGCATTCTGTTACTTTTGCAACTGACTGCATTCCACAATTTCATTTTCAACTTCGTCCTCTAGATGGCTCTCTGATCTCCATCTATGGGCAAGACCCTCTGTAGATCAGTGTGATGTAGTGCGAGAAGTTATTTTTTTTGGCACCCTGGTGTAAATGGCACTAGAAACACATCAGATCTATTTGCACTCAAGTAGTCTGGTGTATAAAAAAAAAACTAAAAAAAACCCCACCAAAATACAAGTTTGATGTCAGAGTGCATGCTTTGATATTTTATGCAGTGGTGCTTATGTGTGGGTGTGGGCATGGTTTTCCATCTGTCTGTCTGTCTCTCAGCATGTAGCCTATAGTATTTATAGACGGTTCGGTGCATACCTTGGTTTTGAAGTCAAAATTCGATATGGGTTCAGTACAGCAGGGGGGAGAAAACTCAACATAAAATAGCTTTTTGTATTATGTAACAGTGGTTTACTGAACACATTGTGTCTCTGTCTTTAAATAAATTCAATTATAACTATGTTTCTTAACCCTTTGATGCGCAAGCTATGATACCCCTTCTAATGTACAACATGGGTCTAAAAAGACCTGCATCATTTTCTATGTTATTTCATGCATGGCTTGGCATTTTTTTTTGTTTCACCTTTTGAAATCACTTTATTTGAGCATTTAATATTTCATGATCTATAAATTTCATGATTTATGAATATTCTAAATATCTTGTTTTCAATTATCACAAATAATTGAATATTTCCTAGGTTTTTTGTTAATACATCAAGTTTACACACATGGGTCTAAAATGACCCATCTATGCAAGCGTGATAAAACAAAAGAATAAAGAAAGCTTTTTGTTAAAATAGCCAATGTCACAGTTGTTACTGTAACACTTTAAATATGTTTATTGGCCACTTTGTCGCACATAATACACATATAACCAATAACACTGAAATTGAACTGTAGTGTAGTGCAACTGTAGGGGGATCTCCACACCACCAATGTGTAGCATCCACCCAGATGATGCGACAGCAGCCATAGTGCACCAGAACGCCACCACACGACGGCTTATGTGACCGATAGCATTGATTTATGAACACAAATAAAAATGAATATGGAGGTACAAGGTTTCTGCCCAACAGCAACAATATATACTTGTATATATAACTTTCTATTGCAACTTTTATTTTGTTGACCTAGCTAACATTAGATAAAATAGAATATGTCGACCGCAAGCTAGCTAATGGTATTGGACATGTTTCTCTTTTGCACTAGTAATGGATTTCAAGGTCAAGGTAACCTTAGCCTAAATGTTCAAATATTAGGCTATATCTATGTCTTTCACAAAATATCAAATATTTTCTGTGACAAAAAATGTATTAAATAAAACTTACACGCATGAAATATACAAAAGCAGCCGTGTTGAATTGTGAAATGTGTGGCAGGTGAATAGTTTTCTGCAGTAAATATATTTATACTATTTATAAATATCAAAGGTTCCTATATGGGTCATTTTTGACCCATGTGTGTAAAATTGATGTAGAAATACAAAAACCGTGTTTGTTTATAAAGTAAGAAAGGAAAAATAAACAATGATTTGTGGAAATCAAAAACAAGATATTTAATGAATACCTGGATTAATAAATGATAAAATACATTTCTTTCAAATATTCAGCAAAGAAACGTGAATACGGGTCTTTTTAGACCCATGTTGCGCATTAGAAGGGTAGTGACACAAAAACGATTTTTATTCGAAGAGTAAGAAAGGAAAAATTTAAATAAGGATTTGTAATGATCTAAAACAAGTTATACCATGGTCTGGGTGAATACTCGATTCTGATTGGCTGCAGGGTGTCCGTTAAAAAGTGATAGAGGTAGGGTTGCCACCCGTCCCTTAAAATACGGAATCGTCCCGTATTTGTGAAATAAACAGCGCGTCCCGTTTTGAATCAATACGGGACGCGGTTTGTCCCGTATTTCCGAGTTGTCTTAAATGCATCATCACATGCAAATCATAACACCCGCATTCTGTGAAGACTCGTCCTATTCTACCCTTGATTGGGTAATACTCGCTGCCATTGTTGGTTTGATTGGTTTGTTTAATAACATCAGGTTCAGGGCCAATCAGAGTCAGAGGAGGGCGGGTCTTTTGGCAGAAAGTTGATAGCAATGCTAGCTTAGAGAAATCAAAGCACCACCGTCTCACAGTTCTTCATACGTTAAGGATCTCCCGAAGCAGATAGTCATAGTGTAATGACCGTTTTTTAATCAGCTCAATAATGTTCTGATTGATTACGTTTTCATATGCTCCATACCCTATGCCCATTTGCTAAGAAATAATGTTTCAATGTAAATGAATTATATCCATACATTATGGTATGATTTGTTTATTATAGTTAAGGTAGTCAGACACATGCATTTTTTAAATAAGAGAGAGAGAGATATTTAATAGGCCTACATATTTAATAATAAAAATGTGCATGTGTGAAGAAAATGACTTATGCTTAACAAATATAGAGAATAGGTCAATAGGTCTGAATACATAAATAAATAAATACATAAATAGATTTTCTTACCAATAATAAAAATAGTGCTATAATTAAATTTAGAAATGTTTGTAGATTATAGGTTATTTATGTGTGGTATCACTGTTTGGATGGTGTTACATGTTTGAAAGAAACAGCTACTCAGTGCTGCATGGAGTGACAAGTACACTTAACGCCTATAGTCCAATACTGCACAGTACTACTGGTCTACTGATGTTTTTGATGTTCAAGATCCTTTGCTAAAGTCATAGTTTTTTCCAATCAAATTTAGTATTTGTTTGAGTATCAACACATTTGTTTAATTTATAGTGAATAAGTTATGGATCTGTTAATTTAATAAGTTAATAAGTTAACATCTCACATACAACTCCGACGAAAGGCAATTTTTTTGTAATCTCATTGTCACACTTTGTTAACGTTGTTTGTGATAGATAGTGATTTATTCACAATGATTTCAATAGCAGATAGCTTATTATAATGTCCATTGGTATGATCTTATTACTTTCCTGAAAAATATGTTTTGAGTTATGATACCATTGGCATACCGTCGGGCCTGTGGTCATTGTGGCCCTGAGGGCTTTGGCCCCCGCTGCGGCCGCCGGCAGGCGTCCCTTATTTTTTTGTATTGAAGGTGGCAACCCTAGATAGAGGACACCTAGTAAAGGAGTTCTGGTGAAACTGCCTGTTTACCGTTCGAAATTAATAAATAAATGCGCTGCCTACAACAGCTGTGAGTAACCATAGCAACAGGCAGTCAAAGTATCCGTTAACAATTTGCTCTATCAAAACAAACATCTAACGTTAGTTAGATATTACATAGCCTACTAATACAACAATGAGCGACTTCGTTATTTCATCTTCAGTCTCTCACGGACTGACGGAGCCCAGTAAGCCCGCAGACTGCTCTCGCATCGATGGCCTGTCACCGACATTATTTGACGGCTCTCCAGTCCAGCATCGGAGAGTCGACCTACAGCGGTGCTTCGGAGGCTGTGGTTAGTGTAGACTAGTGTAACACATAGTGTTTTATGTGTAATAAAAAAATAACTATGCCTACCTTTGTGTTTCATGAAAAAAAAATACATTTTTGAACCTGAAGGGTTCTACAAGCTGAGCGGACTAACGTTATATATCTCAAGTTGCTAAATAAATCGTCAGGCAAGTTATTATTTGAAAAAACTAGATTTAGCCTAATTAAAATATAAACTAATGTTTTAAAAATGTTTTATTTGGCAAGTGACCATGGTATAAGCGGGTTAATGCCCTTCGAGGTGTCCGTTGTAAGGTTTTAATGGACTCCGCTGCGCGTCGGCCGGTTTACACCTCGCCGTCGTCCATTAAAACCTTACAACGGACACCTCGTCGGGCATTAACCCTTACTTAATTGAGGAATACTGAATGATGAAATTCATTTCTTGCAAAGATATAGAAAATGAAATCGCAGTCGGGTCTATTTAGACCCATGTTGTGCATCAAAGGGTTAAGGATAAAAAAAAGTATCTCTGCTAATTCTGTAAACTATATAGTGTGCCCTTACTTGCACCTTACTATAATGATAAAGGTTAAAGGTTCTCTAAGCGATGTCGGGTGACGTCACTTCTTGTTGACGTTTAAAGTATTGCCAAACAAAACGGAGGCTAGCTAGACCCTCCCTCCTCCTCATCCGCGCACTAACCCCCCAAACCCCGCCCCCAAGTCCTTCTTGTCAGTGATTGGGGTTAGCCCAGTTTGTTTTTGTTGCTGTTTGTGGAGCCTGGGCTGTCTAGCAGACTGTCTGGCAGAGATCGCGTTTCTTTACAGTGTGTTCAGGGGACAGGCAGCCAGCGGATAGTGAGGAGATGTTTGCTGTATGTGACAAAAAAATGTTTTGGCCTAAAAAACGCGTGACATCGCTTAGAGCACCTTTAACAACAGAGCCCAAACTATTAGCCTAAATTCAATTGCTATTTATTATATTTATTGAGCTGATTGAGCGATTACACGAGATGATACGTTTCAGAAAGTTGTACTGTATCTTTCAACATACCTTCAGATGTTCATTCATGTTTATTCTGTAACTATAGGCCTATAATGAGGAAGAGATGATCGCGTTCACTCACCCTGCTGCTTGAACTGAGGCGCCTATGAGATCTTTCACCACACATTAAAGAGCGTCATTTTCTTTTCTTTTTGAATTTGTTTTGAAATGGACAGAATTTGAAAGATGACACGTTGTTTCTTATCGAAAGTAACAAAACGCAGAGCTTATTGCGATTAATGGTGGTTAGGCTACACTGCTGTATTTGTAGTATACTGCTTTCGTCTCATCCACCTGTCTTTGTCCGTTGCCGTAATGTGTACTGTTGTTGTTCATCTTAGGTTGTATTTACCTAATTTTAAGACCTGCCAAGGTCCAGATGATTTTTTTTTTATTGTGTCCTGAATCCTGAAGCATAAAACCATAGAAGAGCTATAAACAGGGCTCTCTCAGACCCCAAACAAACTTTGAGATGATGCAATTACATTTTGTCAGTGTAAATCAATTTGGTATCACGGGAGAATATTTCCATCTTGCATCAGTAGAGTCAGTGGCCTGTTTCCTTCTCGGGCAGGATGTTGCTGTGCTGTGCTGTGTACGTGCCTGCTGTTGCTCCATTGGAGTTAATTATCTGCATTAATGAGAGAAGCTCACTCATTTATCATCGTCTCATTCACTCTGCAAGCGCCTGACTATAGCTGCACTGCCCCCTATCAGTAGCCTGAGAATGTGTATGTGGGATACCATGCTATTTGCAGTCCCCTGGACTGTTTTGATTTCCATGTGATTCTACATTCAGAATTCATATTCAGAATAAATTTACTTGTAAAATAAACATTTGTTCACGCACACTTTTATGCATTGAGTCACATGCACCACAGGTTTTATTTACTTTGAGTGTTATTTTCATCTCATCCAAGGTGAGATGAAGGCCTCTGAGTCTTCGTTGAATCCCTTTCTCATATATCATCTTCTATCTGGCCTGTTGGTGGCTTTATAACTTTACATTTAAGAAGCAACTGGCCAATCCTTGCTTTGCAAGAGCTACTCAACATCAGGATCCATAAGTTATTCGTTTTCTCGCTGGAGAACGTGAGTGTATTCCATCTGGACAGCAAGTGGCCGTTTGGAACGTTATAACACAATCAGGGCACCTCTTTAACCTCCACACCTTTTCTGTGTCTCTTTCTATCCCTCCTGCTTTTCTTCATTTTGCGCCGTCCATGTAAAATATGGAGGGTTTGGAGAGATTGTTTGATGTATTCAATCAGGTGCACTCGATGTGGGACAGATGATGCATGACCGCAGGATGGCTGGAGAATGAGTTTCGGATGAATAAAAAGAAGAGGGGGGTGACTGAGGAGATGATGAGTGGTCTTATGGCTGTAAAGAAGAGGCTGAAGGGGGTTCCATCAGGTAAATTGCCCTTTACTAGCATATTGCAGGAGCCCGTCTCTATTTCATTCGACCGGGGAGTCACGTCTGCGGCCATTAAAGTGCTGATGTGGGACATTGGATGGACAAGTCGGAGCTAAGGCTGATAGTATAATCAGGTACTAAGGAATTCATTTTCTCCTTGGCTGCACTCTGCGTGCAGGGATGCAAAGGGGAGTCGAAGGAGATCTGCGGGTTAACCTGTGTCCCGTTAGCCCACAGTAACTCCCAGACCCAGCGTTAAACTACAATCTCTATAACTCCCTCTGACTCAGCGAAAGGTCATAGGTCAACAGCGAAGCATTCATTTAATGCTCATACCACTTGATGAAGCTTTTTTTACTTTATAAAGCACCATAAGATGTATATTATTTGATGTAACAAAAGATCCTGGAATGCCTACCTGTTCCTGTTTATACACTCACGACACCGTTTGTTCTTTGTGTGAATAACCCACACAGATGCTGAGTGTGTCGTGTATAATGTGATATGTCTGGTATTTATTCCGCAGTATCTGGGTGAGTGTCACAAAAACTTGTCAAACTTTGCATGCACATGATATGGTGGAAAAAAATGTGTTGTGGCCAATTTAACAATTCGTTCCCACAACTTCTTATACTAATACTGTACGTCAGCCATTTTGCTAATTTGTTCCCTCGTATTAAGTAGATCGAGAGCACGACATAATAATTTGTTCCCTCGTTTTACTTAGTCATGGCGACGTTGTAGTAATTAATTCACTTTTTTTTTAGTTCAATCCAAATGAGGGAACGATTTGGTACAGACGTGGACACGATTTACTAAAACAAGGGTAGGAATTATTATATTGTGCACGTGATTTAAACGAGGGAACGATTTAGAAAGTCTTGTGAACGAGTTGTTAATTTGTGGCCACAATGTACATTTATTCCTGGATGTCATAAATAAACTGAGGAAATAAATTTGCCAAACATAATAAATAATGCCAAAATGTCTCTTTCTTTCTTCCTTCCTTCCTTCCTTCCTTCCTTCCTTCCTTCCTTCCTTCCTTCCTTCCTTCCTTCCTTCCTTCCTTCCTTCCTTCCTTCCTTCCTTCCTTCCTTCCTTCCTTCCTTCCTTCCTTCCTTCCTTCCTTCCTTCCATCCTTCCTTCCATCCTTCCTTCCTTCCTTCCTTCCTTCCTTCCTTCCTTCCTTCCTTCCTTCCTTCCTTCCAGGGAATTGTGGGATTCACTTTCAAACACTGTAAATTTAACGGTATTTTACAGTAAAATTACATTAAATGCACCGTTAGATCTATCACAGTTATTTACCATATATAGTAAGGAAACTTTCTGTTAACCAATTAACAGTTTTGCACTGTAGCATTTTTACAGTCTTTCACCGTTAAAATCACGATAATTTTTTTACAGTGTAGCTCATTGTTTTTGGGTGCTGTTGGTGTTGTGCCATGGTGCGACCCGAAAGACTGATCCTAAACCAGCTGGTTTTTGCAGCACAGTGCCCCTCCACTCGCATCTCTGCCGCCAACCTTCTCCCTCCCCCTCCAGCCTTATCTTCCTCTCCTGTTTACCACTGGCTCACTAATGGGAAAAAAATTGCAGCAATATGCAAAAAAGCCGCTAAGGCAAATGCAGGTTGCCCAGGCAACAAAGAGGTTATATTCCTGGGTGCTGATGGAAATCAGTGTAGCGCGCCTAGCTCTCGCATCCTGCCGAAAATTAGATAGAGGAAAGAATACAAAGAAAGAGACTTGCAAGCGTGAGTAGGAAGGGTCCCAGGGGCCAGTTCAACTTCAAGCCATGTTTAGTTTTCATCAGCGGCCTTGGCAGACATGCCGGCTTTCAATCCTTTATGTATTTGTGTGGAGTTACAGGAAGAAGTCAGTCTCACAACAACAAATATAACTGTGAGCCATGAAGTCATTGTGTTATATTGCATATTGTAATATTTACATATAGCTACTTAATTTTTGCAGTTTTTTCAGTCATTTGAGGGTTTAACCTGCTCTGCTTCGAATGTGATGATAAACAGTCTAGTCTCCATGTAATCTTGTTTCGTTAACTGGCAGTAAATGGAATGTGCCGTCAGGCGTCTGCAGAGACACAGCGGACCACGAGTCATTGAAAAATATAATCATGGAAGGTAGTGAGTAAGGAAGAGAGATCAATTAAAATGAGAAATGTCAAGGAGTTCATTTCTTCAACATTAAGAGATTAGGATTTTGCCCCCAGATATTCTTGAAATTCATGTGTATTTATAGCAACATCAGATCTGAAAGCTTCATTTTCTTGGAATAGAATGATAGAAAATAAATACTATAACCTTGAGCTATT